TTTTTTTTTGTTACATCTTTTAAATACCATTTTATTTTCACTTGTTATTCTCAATTTATATACATCCTTTATGACTGTCTATTGTTGTCCACTGTTGTCATCACTCTGTTTAAAAAAAACAGGTCTCTTGTAAATGAGTCCCCAAGGCTCAATGGGATTAACCCATTAATGAATCCTGAACATGTCATTGCATTGTTCACTTTGCCTTAACCTGCATATGACAAATAAACGTATATCAAATAAACAATATAAAAAAATCAGCTGTAGATTTGTCTGGATGAAAAATGTTCTGAGCATTTTATTGAAGACCTTTTAAAAAGTATGTGCTTACACTGTACTAACAACTGTAAACATACATTGTTGTGTTAGACTGTGTTTAATAGTAGACACCCTTCTCGGGTTAAGTTTGGGTGTTTCTGAGTTAAGACGTGGTTTTAAATTAAATAAACTGTGAGCTGCAGCTTATTTAAAAAAAACCGTGGTACGCGTCTGCTTCTGATTGGTTAAAATTCTCTGCATCGTGAACCAATCAGAGCCCTGTGCGTCGCTAAAGTCCCGCCCCTTGCGTCGAGCCGGCGGATCCGCCTGAATTCCAGAGGTCCGTGTCCCCTCCCCCTCCCCCCACGGACCACCTATAAAGGTAACAACTAGCAGGCCGACTCCCGGCTGTTCGTTCCTCCCTCGTTGATGGTTAGACTGTGCGAAAGAAAGATGAAGTTCCTCGTGGCGGTTACGGTCATTGTGGGGTCCCTGATTTTTCTCGCTTTCCCCAACGGTTCGTCTGCTGACGAGAAGAAGAAAGGCCCCAAAGTGACGGCTAAGGTACGTGCTAGCTAGCTCCAGACCTAGCCTCTTGCGGGATTTCTTGTTGCGGAAAATGTAAAAACGCTCTTCCTCTTTGCACGGAAGCGAACTGGTAGCTGCAGTCTGCAAAGCCACGTCACGCACACTGATTTTCTACCTTTAGCTACTCTCTGTTGAAACCAGGCTAACGTTAGCTAGCGCTAGCAGGAGGTTTAACGAGCCCGTTCTGGGCTCCGGGTCCGTCTGGCCCTGCAGTCTGGGTTTGTCCACGTCTGCAGTTGAAGGAGGCTCTTAGCTCACCCAAAAGACCCGCAACACATCTAAGATACCCCAGCTAACGAAACCAGCTTTCACCACGGTTGTTTTCATGGATATTAAGTTGTTACTGTCACTTTAAATCACGGTTTAAACTAATAATTCACAAAATCAAAGCAAATTTGGAATCTGTCTACGACACACAACTCTGCAAAGAACAGTTTGGGAAAACTAAATCTTTAGGTACTTTTTTTATTTTTGAGCTTGTTCTAAAGATTTTGCTTAAGATCTAAAGATTTGTTCCTCTTGGGAGATAAAGTTGGAGAGACCAGACCGAGATGGTTTGGACATGTCCAGAGGAGGGACGGTGGTATGGACATGTCCAGAGGAGGGACGGTGGTATGGACATGTCCAGGGGAGGGACGGTGGTTTGGACATGTCCAGGGGAGGGACGGTGGTTTGGACATGTCATGGGGAGGGACGGTGGTATGGACATGTCCAGAGGAAGGACGGTGGTATGGACATGTCCAGAGGAAGGACGGTGGTATGGACATGTCCAGGGGAGGGACGGTGGTTTGGACATGTCCAGGGGAGGGACGGCGGTATGGACATGTCCAGGGGAGGGACGGCGGTATGGACATGTCCAGGGGAGGGACGGCGGTTTGGACATGTCCAGGGGAGGGACGGCGGTTTGGACGTGTCCAGGGGAGGGACGGCGGTTTGGACGTGTCCAGGGGAGGGACGGTGGGTATATTGGTAGGAGGATGTTAGAAATGCAGCTGCCAGGACAAAGACAGAGGAGATGTAGATGCAGTTGGAGAGGACATGAAGGTAGATGGAGTGAGGACAGAGATGGAGGAGGACTCCCTGTGGAGACCCCTGAAGAGAGAGAGGCTGAAAGAAGCAGCAGCTGTAACAAAGTATGAACCCTGTCATAATTTTGGCTGATGTGTTTTAAAACTTAACTAAATGTTTGAGTGAGTAAAACACGCTTGTCTTGTCATACTGGTGCATTTGATGTTCTTGCAGTAAAAAAGAAACTATAAATAAGTTATGTACTTGTGACAAGCTTCTAATAACAACGTGCTTAAAATACAAAAGTTGACTGCAAGTTGTTTCTAGTACAGCCTGTGATTTAGGTCCTTTTTTTATATGAATCAACTCTAAAAACTGAATTTGTGCCTTGCTAAAGTCTCAAGTTCGGCTTCTTTTCTAGGTTTTCTTCGACATCAAGATCGGAGAGGAAGAAATCGGAAGAGTCGTCATTGGTGTGTTCGGGAAAACCGTTCCCAAAACCGTTGACAACTTTGTCGCCCTGGCAACGGGAGAGGTGAGAAGTTGTTCCAAGATGTTGAAATGAGTGATAAATTCCTGCGTGACGCTCGTACTGTCAGAGGGTTTTGAGTTTCGTTTTAAAACGGTTCCGTTTGTGTTATTTCAACAGAAAGGATTCGGTTACAAGGGCAGCAAATTCCACCGAGTCATCAAGCAGTTTATGATCCAGGGTGGAGACTTCACCAGAGGAGACGGCACCGGAGGTAAAGCGTCTTCTGGCACCGTCGCTGTGCATTTCGAATCGTCTCCAACATGAGAGATGAAAGGAAGTTCTGCAGAAAATGAAGGGAACGAATGTAAACTGTCGTACTTGAACGATTTTTTAAAATTGTCTTGCTTTTCCCGTCAAGGTAAAAGCATCTACGGGGACCGTTTCCCAGACGAGAACTTCAAGCTGAAGCACTACGGCCCTGGTTGGCTCAGCATGGCCAACGCTGGGAAGGACACCAACGGCTCCCAGTTCTTCATCACCACCGTTCAGACCCCGTGGCTCGACGGCAAGCACGTGGTCTTTGGAAAGATTCTGGAGGGCATGGTGGGTAATCCCAAGAAGACTGTGTTCGCTGACTTACAGGAGAATTACAAGGTGTTGACGGTGTTGTCCAAGGAGGGTGCCCCGCCCTGTCAACAGCGCGCAATACAGACGTGCTAGCTCAAATTCTACAGACACGGCGCTCTACTTCTCTCACATAACCCCACCACCTCCACCACCACCCACCCAAAGTATGATCACCCTGCTGAGGCGAGTGAGCCAGGGAAATATTAATCCTGAGGTCTGCAACATGTGGCTCTGGAGCCACGCGCAGCTCTTTATCTCATCTGTGGCTCTTTGACCAAAACTTACATGACATTTAACCGTATTGCCTTTTATACCCACAAAAAAAATATTTTGGAACTTTTTTTTTTCCTGTGAATTTTCTGCAAATGTTAGAATGATACTAAGTTTTACATTATTTCTCATAAAAAAGGGACCCGTGTAGGTCTGCAGAGTTTAGTGATTTTTATTTGTACCAAAACTGGTATAAACTAATTTTTTCCCTTTTTTACACAAAAATGGTTTCTTTTTTTTAAAAAATTTTTTAATTTATTTATTGTCCTAAAATGTAAAAATATCCATAAATGTTAAAATTTATTATAGTTTTAGTTTAATAATGTCACACCCCACTGGCCAGAAAAGCCCTGCTCCAAGAACTTTAAGTGGGCCGTCAGTTGATGATCAGTGGTTTTTTTATTTTTTTATTTATTAAACCTTGTATTTATACAGGCTAGTCTCATTGAGCCATGAGGACTCCTTTACAAGAGGGACCTGTTCCACATAGAACATATAAAGTGCAGACAACAACAACTGTAAACAATAACAATAAACTACAGTAAAAAAAGTTGTAGCAGGTTTATCCGGACACTTTAGTGAGCGAATCAGTAGAAATGGCTCTTCTGATGAAAAAAGTTGGAAACCCCTGGCGTATATTGACCACAACATTTTTAAACGTGTTCTTAATACATGTTAAAGTAATGTACCACATTTCCTGTTTCAGAGGGCATTACAGGTTAACGTGGCAAGATGGCCACTCATCTGGTGGATTAGTAATCCCACAGCCTGAAGGGAGATGGTTTAATCTTCTTGATCCTTAATGCTCCTGTATATATCCAAACCTACACAGTCTAAAAGCATCAAATAAGCACTTATTTAGAATATCATCTTAAAGGACATTAAAATGGTTCAGTTTCAAGTAGGACGTTTTAATTCACGTGACCCCTTCTTGTTCCGAGGTCCGTCTTTTTCCAGATCTGTTGTACCAAACTGCTCCTGAAGCAAATTATAGGAGTGGAAATGTTTAGGTTCGTCATGATTTAACTGATTCAGAGCGCTGCAACATCATAGTGAAATAAGTCTCGGACGCTCTGGTTGTCTGCAGTTATCAGGTTTATTTGGGAAGGTTGTTTATCCAAAACAGAAATGCAGAGACACTAAAAAAATACAACTTTTCAAATTGAATAGTCTGTGGCTAATGCTTCAAAATAATAAACCCTAATAAAGTGCAAACAATGCATCAAAAACCCCAATAATGGCAAGAAGCTCGGCGACTATCACCATGTTTATCACTGGAGATTTATACACAAATTCAATGTTTTTAATTAAGACGGTCGTGTTGCCTCAAGTTCAGCTGTTTAATTTCAGAGATCTATTTTTCAGGTTCAAGAAGGAAAAGCTGAGAAAACACTGCAGCGTGTCTGAACTGCTACGACGACTCTGACTTTATGACCGTGACGAACCTGAGTAGCTTCAGTTGAACTGATTTTTGACGTTTGAAATTAGATTCAGAATGAATTCTTACCTCCACCCTTAAAGACTGCACTTGGATAGACGAGACCCTAAAGCCCGCACTAGTGATGAGCAAGTGAAGCTTTTATGAAGCACCGAACCACTTGGGACAAATGTTTCAAACATTGGTTCGTTTTTTTGAAGCGTCTGCTACAGCGACCTCTCCTGGTCAAATCAGGCAAAAAGCTTTTATTCTACACACCCGAAGAACTTTAAGGAAGAGTTGAAGCTACTTTACTTGACTTGAAAACGGTTTTGGTTAAGTTGCAACTTTCTACTTGGGTTTTAAAAGTAGTTTACACATTTTGTGTTCAAATAAAGATTGATCATGCATCGTTAGAGGATGTCTAATCCAGCCTGGCATGTGAGACTGTCAGTCTATTGTTAGAAATAATGAAATGAGAAATCCAGAAAGAATCCTTGTGAAACGGTGCAAACATCTGGAACCATCAAACATTTTTTAAGGAACGTGTTTTTCAACAGTTTTTGGTCATAGCTGCTTTTTTTTTTTTTTTTTTTTCACAACCTCTTCACACTTAAAAAAATACTCGCTCACAAGGGACAGATGATGTCGTGCATAAAAAATGCTGCACAGATGTGGGTACAGATGTTGATGGTTCAGCCAGTGGGTGTTCTGATGTGTCCAGCGGTGGATCTGTCATGTCAAAATAAAAGCTGGCCCACACAGCTTTATGACTGCAAACATAAACACCATTTTACTGTAATGATGTTGAATTTAGGGTTGGGCTAAAAGACTTCTTTACAGCTGGACTTTACTGTTTTTTTTATTGTTTTTAACACGTATTGAAAAGCCAGAACCACCTTATCCTGAGCGAGCAGAATCAAGTGTTCTCACGTTATAACTTTTTTTATTTTATTTTTCCCGGCCGGCTCCATAATGATACAACACAACGGGAAAACTGCACCTACTCTCCCGACACACTGCACACTTGGCAGCCAAATTAAAAACGGTTTGAACCAAGTCGCCCGTCAGAATCGAGACGAGGCGGTTCCAGGGAATCAGCTGATTGAACCGCGAACCAGTCAAGTGATTCATTCCAACAACGAAGCACTTTGCGTTTCGGACGTCACGTGACGTCTTCTGCACCGAAGCAGCTTCAGGGTTCAAAACAAGTGAAGCTTTTGTTTTCTGCTGCCATCGCTAGCCCACACCAACAGTCGGAAAGTCAATAGCAATACATTTAATTTTAACGTTCTGAGTGGAGATAAAAAGGTTGAGGAATTATCCAACATCCCTGTTTTGAATTTGGGACTAAACCTTTTCAAGTCAAGTTATTTAAATTTACTATATGATGCTTGTATTTTCTGTTTTTTAACGAGACCGAGTCTCTGCAGTTCCAGAACATCAAGTTGAGGAACGATGCAAAGCAGCTCTGGGTTGTGAAGGACAAATCCTGCAAGTTGGCGTTCCCGGTGCCAACGACCAATAAAATGCACTAATTGTCTTTTGAAGTTCACCGTTTTTTATTAGAACATGTCCATCACTGGAACAGTCACGAAACCTTTTTTTGTTTTCTTCCAGGATGTGGTGTCGAAGATCGAGAGCACGAAGACGGATGGCCGAGACAAACCTCTTAAAGACGTCGTCATCTACAGCTGTGGTAAAATCGAGGTGGAGAAGCCGTTTGCCATTGCCAAGGAGTAGAGCGGAGCTGTCCGGAGACCGAGGGGAGTCGGGCTGGGAGGGGGTGTTGGAGGAATTGTGCGGGCCGCTTGGTTTTATCGTTGACAGCCCTGATTTCCAGGATCATTCACAATAAGTGGCGGCCATTTTAACCCACCGGAACAGAATAATTACGATCATGACGATCTGGGTCCATTCAGCGACGAGCATTCCAAGGTGCAACTAACAGTTCATTGTTGGGCTATTTTGTAAGAAAATGGAGTGAAATTTGAAATAAATGTTTCAAGTTTTATTACATCGGTGTCCAAATGTTTTCGTGTGAATGGTTTTTTTTTTTTTTTTTGAGCCAAAAACGAGTTTGTTTTAGGAAGTGGACTTTATTCTCTTCAGGTTTTTTATCTTGAGGTGATTTTGGGACGGCACAGTTGGTAGAGATGAGCGAACCAGGTCGCTGGTTCAAGCCCCAGCCCGGGACCTTTCTGGGTGGAGTTTGCATGTTCTCTCCGTGCATGTGTGGGTTTTCTCCGGGTGCTCCAGTTTCCTCCCACAGACCAAAAACATGCATGTTAGACTGATTGGTAACTCTGAATTGTCTCTGGGTGAGAGAGGGAGTGAATTGTTTTGTCTCCATGTGTCCCTGTGATGGACAGGAGACCTGTCCAGGGTGTCCCCCGCCTCTCACACAGTGATGACTGGACATGGGCACCGGTGACCTGAAAAGGAAGAAGCGGATAAAGATGATGGAGTTACGATGGTGGTTCTCAGATGTTCTTGCAGTATAAAAAATACCAAGTTCTTTGTATGACACATTTTAAACCCTTTAGTACAGCGTGTGTTTTTATAACATTACTGATCCTGCAAACATCAAGTACTGGACATAAAGTCCAACTAACCTAAAAACCAAACCAGGTGACGGTCCTTACCTTGGACTTTGAACAGTTTCATTGGACTAATTCAGGAAGACAAAAATGAACGCTCATCTAAAGATTTTTCTTTTCCATCTGATTCCACGCACTGTTGAACGGCTCCGCTCGTGTTGTAGTCCGACAGCTTGAATCAGATTTCCTGACGGTGTAGCACTTTTGTGGCAAACTGGTCCGATAGACTTTGCTGGTGCTGCTCATGTAACCATTAACCCAAAGATTAATCATTAGTTTTTACAGGATTTCTACTAAAATGCACTTTTGTTTCGTTTTCATTTGGAGTAGAACCATTCGTCTGTTTGTTGCTCTACATTTTATCTTTACGTCGTGGTTCAGCGTATGCTGGATAGATGTCTTGTGATTCATCTTTAAATTGTTTTACTCTGAATACCACACCAGTAGTACCAGTACTTGTGCCACAGCCTAACCCTGGTTTTAGAGCATTCTTCTTCTGGCCACCAGGAGGTGCTGTTGAACAGCTTTACTCATCCTGCCTGATCAGTCCATGGAAAACTAAATGAGGCTAAAAGAGTTTATGAAAAATCTATTTAGAATAAATAATCTTTATTAAAAACATCCACAGAATAACACATCGTCTCAGAAAAAGGCTATTTTGTAATTAATCGTACTGATGCGACAAAACTTTAAAACATCTGTTGTGTGTTTTATCTGCTCAAACATGGACTGTTATGCAACTGCCTAACATGTGTCTGTTAGTAAAATGGCTAATGAACTACTGTACAGGTTTTAATGAAACTTAAAAAATATATAAAATGGTAAATATTGAAAAAAAAAAATATTTAAATTTAAGGCTTAGCATATTTTAAAGGAATGCATATACATGTGTTGTGCAGAGCAGAGTTTCAAACTGAGGTTTGTTTTTCATTCAACCTTTATTTAAACGGATAAATCACTTTACCTTAAAAGATAAATCTCTTTAGGATGAGAAACGACACGCAGATCTTGTGAATGAGGTTATGATCTCATGCAGGATCAGTTAACTCTCGGCTACTACAAAATAATTTTAGATCAATATCTAAAGAACTGACCGAATTATAGTTTTGTGTTGAAAATGTTGGATAAAATTATCCTCTGTTCATCTCACTCAAAAGAAGCTCAACTCGACAAGATTTTTAACCGGTTTTACTTGCAGGGACAGATTTTCACATCGGTTTAAACAGACGTACAGAAGTTACACGCATGGAGTCCAGACATGAGGATCTGCCCCGGGCAGTGAGCGGGGCTTGTTTTTATTCACTTATCAGCTCCTCCAAGCTCAGAGTCAAACACATGGTTAATGGGTAGTTAACATTCTCAACCATAGTTAAAAACATCCGTAAAACCTTGTCCAAAAATTCCCTAACAGAAAAGTTTAACAAAAAAAAAACGTTGCACACCTTCACTTTTTCTACTGCGGGCAATAAAGATGGTGGAAATGTCCAACACCTGAACATCTGGAGCTCTTTCTGCTCAGTTTCATGAAAGCTGCTCAAAAAACACTAAAACATAGAGATCATCGTGAGAATGGAGGGACAAGGATTCTCACAGAATGACAGAAGAGTGGATTCTGGTTTTATAAGAAAGACACATGTTTAGCAGTTTTCCAACATGGAGTGCTGGTCCTTCAACACTTTGTTCTTCAGTTTCTCTGACTGCCAGCTCTGGCTCTCTTTGCTCTCATTTAATGGTGAAGGAACAAAAAGCCCGTTTCACTGAACTGGTTTGTTCTCATTTTATTCACAATTACACACAACAGACAAAAACAAAGAGGAAACGTCTTCGTGCTCACCTGAAATAAAAGCCCAGTTTGTAAATGTTTTCACCTTCAGTCAGATGAGGGTTGATTTCCTCGCCTGTCAATCATGCAGTATTTAATTATAAAGTACAAGGACTGAGCGGTGCTTTCTGAGTTGTAGCTCCGACAGTGAGGTTTTAGTGAGCTCGGATCCAGGAGGAGCACGAGGAGCTCGGACAAAAACTTAAAGTTTAAACGACGAAGCAAAATCAAATGACCCAAAAGGCTGACGAGGCAGCAGAAATACAGAGAACTAATGAAACGTGAGGGGACTAGAACCAGACAAGACCTGGAAACACAATAGACTGCAGAGGAGGTGAAGACCAGGAGACCACGGACCAATAGATGATTTGATGAGAGACAGGTGACCTTGTTCATTTATTTGTTTTTGAGATCATAGATCTCTTTTACAAAAGAGGCCTTGTTTTGGACTGTGGGAGGAAACCAGGGTCCTGAAGAAAAGCCATGAGAACATGAAAACTCCACACAGAAAGAACCCCCACGTCCAAACCGGGTCTGACCCCCAGGAACTTCTAGCTGTGAGGCAACAGTGCAAACCACTAATCCATCGTGCTGCCTGATGGTAACAAGGAGCAGGTGTAGTTGGACACAGCAAGACAGAGAAGCAGAAGCTAAACATGTAACAGAAACATCCATCATGTTTAAACGCTTCTTTTCGGGTCGTGGGGGTCGCTGGTGCCCATGTCCAGCCAGCCACTGAGGCTGGGGACACCTGGACAGGTCTCCAGTACATTACAGGGACACATAGAGACAAACGAGACAAACAACCATTCACTCTCTCTCTCACCTAGGGACAATTTAGAGTTACCAATCAGTCTAACATGCATGTTTTTGGTCTGTGGGAGGAAACCCACGCATGCACGGAGAGAACATGCAAACTCCACACAGAAAGGTCCCGGCCAGGATTTGTTCCGGCGACCTTCTCGCTGAGAGGCAGCAGCTCTACCAACTGAGCCACCGCGCCGTCCACATAACAGAAACATGACAATCAAAAACAGAAATATACTTCACAATAAACATACAAAAACTAGCAAAAAGTACAGAATAAAACCCCAAAACTTAGATCCTGACACCAACAGGCTTTTTGTTTGTTATTATACAAGACCCGCTTTGTTTTTGTTTGTTTGTTTTTTAAGAAAACCTCGCTCCAGTCAGAAGACTCCCGAGTGTCGGGAAAGACCGTTTTCATTTTCAGCTCTGGTTCTGTGCGTTATTGTCCAAGTAGAGATGAGTGAGGAAAAGCTACGATGGGAGGAACATTTCAAGTTCAAGACAACTTTATTGTTGTTTCCATCATGTGGTACATGAGGTGGAACAAAATGATGTACCGTATTGTCCGGCGTATAAGTCGCAGTTTTTTTGCATAGATATGTCAGTCCTACGATTTCTACGCCAAAACGACTTATGTACGTTTTTTTTTCCTCCATATTCATAAAGCAATTTTTGACTGACGCTTTAAATTTCTAAGAACAGAAACAGCGAGTCCTCCCGTGCGCACTCACTTCACTCAGCTGGTGCCGGCGGAGGAACTAGCGGCTCCGACCGCGATGGATGGCAGGCACCGCGCCGCCCAGGCGAAATAAAGCGGTTTTGACCATTAAATAGACGCACAATAAACAGTGATACATAATGACTACGACGTCGACTTGTATTTGTTTTATTCCTTTTCATGATGCTTCTTTTGACTGATACGACTTATTATCCAGAGCGACTTATACGCCAGAAAATACGGTACACAGGGTCCCAGTAACACCCCTAAAATAGCAAAATATAAAGTATAAAAAGAAACAGGATATCAGGATCTAAGACATACACTATATACCGGGTGCTAACATAGCTGTCCACTGCTCCACCTGGGTGTATCCCACGTGCCATGGGCTAAATGCAGAGAACTAATTTCACCGTACATACAATGATGAAGACACATAGCACTTACTGAAGATGTACGCTAAACATACGGTATGCTCAAAGATCTAATACGAGAGATTATCCGTCTTTAATCTTGCTCTTGCTGTAAGCTCTGATTGAAAATGTAAAGAATTTAAAGAAGTTAACATTGGGACCTTGTCCTTTTTTTAAAAACTGTAATGCATGTTTTCTTTGATAAATGGCTGCCAGCAGTCCTGCCAAAGAAAAAATATTTTGGCACTATTTGCAGAAGAAGTTCTTGGCCCCACAGTTCTTGTTTTGCTCCGATTCAATGAGGTGTCGACTCACCGGGGTCAAAATATGGAAAGAATTCCCTGGAGTTGGCACAACCGTGGTCTTGGTTAAACCCTCTGTTGTTCGGTTTGCTCTTGTTTGTGGCAACTGGGGATTGTCCTGTGAAACTGTGTTATTCTTCACCTACTGGCCCTGCTGGAAAAGCCGTGACAGGCCGGACATATCTGGCATAACTATCTTTGTCCGAGAGCTTACAGGAACACTGGAGAGAATCACAACAAGAAACACATTCGGCCAAAATGGACTCAACCACAATTGTTCACATCCTGCTTTTCTTCCCCTGACCAGTGTGCGCTGAGTTTAACCACCATCACTATTCCAGTAAGGGTGGAG